CTTAAGGGGAGGAACAACACGCATGCCGTCTACAGTGACTCCATGGCGGCGCTCCAGACCATTGCGAACCACAGTGCTCATCACCCCTTGGCTGTAGCAACGAGGGACGCTCTGAGCCGCTGCGCGAGCCGGGGCAAGAGCGTCTCTCTATTCTGGATAAAAGCCCATGCGGGACTAGAGGGCAACGAAAGAGCGGACGTGCTGGCGAAGGAGGCTGCCCTGAGGTCAAAAAGGAAACCAGACTATGATCGGTGCCCGGTCTCATTCGCCAAAAAGATGATACGTCTGGAGTCTCTTGGCGAGTGGGATCAAAGGTACAGGACTGGCACCACGGCATCGACGACAAGGCTGTTCTTCCCCAATGCCGTGGAAGCTTACGCGACTGTCAAAAAGCTGACCATGACCAAAGAGCTAGCACAGGCGTTGACGGGGCACGGTGGGTTCTCGGAATATCTAGCGCGCTTCAAGTGCAAAGAGAGCCCATCGTGCATCTGCGATGACCGGGTCACAGAGTCCCTCCCTCATCTACTGATGGAGTGTCCACACCACGAGCGAGCGCGGATCTCCCAGGAGATGAAAATCGACCAAAGGGTGCTGCAGGCCACACTGCCGAGTCTAATCAGAGACAGGAAATACAGGGCGGACTTCATCGACTTCATAACGATGGTGGTGAGGTCCGCAAATACCAGAAACGCAGCCAATAAAACCAGTGACGAGGCTCTTCGTCGGGCATCGCAGAGTGCCCGTAGTTCAGACCATCCTGGAACGGAAGACCGCTGAGCCTGCATAAACGACCCATGTCATGCTACGCATGGCAGGGCGCTTAAAGCGAACAGGGACGTATACAAGACGGAGAACACGAGCACAAAATGGCAATACCCCGACGAAGAGATGAAGAACGGGGCGCTTAGTATGTATATTGGAATCATAATATATGACAGTAGCGTCGACATTATTATATATTTAATTATTAAATGTACTATAAACTTATAACATAATATGTTTATATAATATCAAATTGAAAATTGGCACAAAAATCAGAATCCAAAAAGTAAAAATAAGTCTCTGATCATGTCAGAGGAGCAACTCGGCACAGCAGGAGGGGTTTTAGCCGGTAAGAGTCCGGCAGTACTCACACCTCCCTATTCGTGGGGAGGTGTGAGTCTCCATGAGAATTTCCCCCCTACTGTTTAAAAAAAAAAAAAAAAAACCTAACCTAACCTAACCTAACCTAACCTAACCTCGAGTCGCGGCGCTGATTTTCAGCACTTGCCCGTGACTATTATAATGTAATAATGTTGCCTCTCAATGTAATCTTTCATGTAGTGCGCAAAAAAGCTAAGCAGTGAAGTGAACCCGACAGCTGCCAACTTCTTCAGCAACATGTCACTATCGACTAAGTCGAAGGCTTTTTTAAAGTCGAAGTAAGCGGCATCGATCTGCCCTCCACTAATTTATTTGATAATAATAAGCATTTATTGTTATTGGCCGCTTATCTATAGTTTAATCTATGCTTATGTTATACCTAGCTGTAAGTTTTCCTAAAATTATAAAATTAAATAAAAAAAAATCGTGATAAAATTGATACATAGTGGGTACATAATATTACAACTATAATACAATTGTATAAAAAAATTGTTAGATTATACATTTTTGTAGTAATTATTACTCAATATAAAAACAATATATTTATTAGTTTAACTTTTCGAAACACTCCATCCGTCCTCTGTTGATTCTACAAGTACTTGAACTGTCATGAATGAAAAATTAAGTCGATTTTTTTGTTTATTATTTTTGTACATTGTATTCTAAGTAAACTTATGGGCAAATGGCGTTATAGTTGATAAAGCTTGGTTATAAACGACTAAACAGTTGATTTATTTCAAAAACTCGACAATTTGTTTTAGTCTACAACAACGTAAATAAAAAATTACCGACTGAAAACTAAACAACAGATTTTAATTCACAACTGCACTTTATCTTTATTGACTACAATTTTTGACAAAAAAACCAATAAATTTAACGCTCAGCGCTCTCATAAATTCGCGCCATTATTTTTTTCAGTGTTGCTACCCACAACCATAAGGAAAACATATACCATAGACAATTTTTAGTAACAATTTTAATAGGCAAAAATCATGGGTAAACATTTATAGCTCATTACAAAATTTAAATTATATTTTTAGAAAAATATAAATAAATTAGAATTAATAATAACTATGTGCATGGTTTATATGTTTAAATAAATATGATTAGCTTACACGATGAAAGGTTATTTCAGGTATATTTTTATAGCTATTGCTGTCACATCACATCAGTCCGCATTGCACTTCACCATCTTATTTTAGATTATTACATGTTTAATGGTCGAAACAACCGAGATCGACGAGATCGACGCAGTTGAAGGCATAGATAGCAATATGGCTATGGCGGCAAGCTCGCGAAAAACAAGCTACATGTCAATATTTGTCCATGTCCGCGACACATATAACTAAAGTCCATTTCACGAAAGAAGTCCCGCAGACGCAGCGCTGTATTCGCGCGACATAATGTTGCCACGGTTAAATTTATATAGAATGGGGAAATCAGGAGAAATTGACATTACTTTGATTAACTAGGTTACTCGAACAGTTCGAGGAATATTTTAAAAATAATGTCTTTTTATATAGGTATTTATGTTTATACTGCTAAGGTCAGATTAGTGAAAAATTAATCTTCCTGTAATTTCTAAAATATAAAATGGAAATAAAGACGTTCAACCAACATCAAATTAGAAACATAAAATAACATTTAAAAAGTTTTATTAAAGTTTTATTGAATAATTATGATCGGTCATACTATGATCACTGTCAGAAGAGTGAATAGAAACAGAATTAGATTCTGTTTCATTATCACTAGCCGTAGATATAATAAATCGATGCATTTCTTCATCCATAAGACCATCATTTTTTAAA